ACATGTGCGCCCAGCCTGAAATTCACAAAATAAAAACAAAAAAAATGTGTCAAACTTCTTCTCAAGTTTAAATCTCTATTNGCCGTACATGTGCGCCCAGCCTGAAATTCACAAAATAAAAACAAAAAAAATGTGTCAAACTTCTTCTCAAGTTTAAATCTCTATTTTACTGTTTGTCATCCAGGTCATGTTCAGTGTGTAGGCGTACCGCAGAACCACACAGACGAGAAAGGCGTAAAGTGGGCGCTCTCCAAAGGCCACCACTGGAATCGTAGTGGGCAGGACGGCCCAGAAGAGCAGCACCAGCTCGCGAAAGTGCGTCCGCTGGAAGGTGACCACCGGATCCGCCTTCAGGTCACTTAGGTCCAGTGTTCGACCTCTTCGAATTACCTCGGGGTGCTTTCGCACCAGCAGCCAGCCCTAGCAAAAATGAAATTAATTTTCAACCTCAAATTTTCCCCCTAAAACTCACCACATGACTGAAGAAGAAGCCCCGCTTGGCGTTGTGCGGATCGGCCTCCGTTTCCGGCCACTTGTGGTGCGCCCGGTGGTCGCGACACCACTCGAAGATGTCATTCTGACCGGCGAGAACGTGACAGAGGGCGAGAAAGAGCCGCAAACCGGCGGCTGCCTGATAACTTCGGTGCGACCAGAGCCGGTGGGCGCCGGCTATTTAATAAGAAAAATACATACATTTTCTAATCACCAACATACCAAACCAAATCAAACTCACCTTGAATGCCAATCAGCGAGAGGATGATCAGCAGCATCAAGTAGAGGTACGTCCCGGTGGTTATAGAGGCCAGCAGGCTGCAGCTGTACAGTGCCGAGCAGTGGAGAACGCCCATGAGGACTACATTCGGCCAGACGATCTTCGGCTGATAAGGAGGCGGTGGTCGGGTGAAGGCGTTCAGATTGGGTAATTTTCGCTCACAAAGTGGACCATCATCTTTTTTACACAGTGGACCATCATCACCTTCAACAACTGTGAACGCTTGAGCAGCAGAGTGTGCAGTCATCACTGAAGCAGCCATCGTTATAACTGCACAAAAGTTTTTTTTCCTCAAAGGCTGGCCATTTTTATGTTTTATAAAATCACCAAGTAAGCGACAAACAAGTATCGATCGACTCGTGTCTGCGCTCACTAATTGATGAACAGTTGCTGTTGAGCCAGTTGTTGTACAAAGTACAAAAATACTCATTCTTTTTCAGGCAGTTATTACTGCGCAATACACACTTTTGTTTCTAAATTGCAGGATACACGCACACAGACACATACACACGATGGTTCTGCTCTAATCAGTTTTTTACCGTTTAATTTTGTGTGTTGCCAATGTTCATCACCTAACCAATCATTTGTACACCACGATATCAATATCGCTTCACTTTTTCCTCTTACGGCTTTTTCCTTTCCATTGGTATCATCGGCTCGGTTGACTGCCACCAATCAACAAGAACCAACAAAAACGTCAGTGTTGGGCAAGTTCAGTGCAGTTCAATGGGCGAGAGGAGAGTAGAAAAAAAACGTAGCAGAGTACAAACGGCCTTTTTTTCCCGATAACCAAACATTCGTTGAACAAAAGGTAACTACCTTTCGAAACACTTTAGGGGGCTTGTCAGTGTTCGTCAGTTCACCAGCCGACCCTTCAGCTCACTGAGCTCCTCCGCCTTCGCCTGCTCCTGCGCCTGCAGGTCGTCGATGATCGCCTGGAAGCGCTGCTTCAGCGCAATGTTCTCGATGCCGTCCAGCTCCAGCTGCTGCTGCAGCCGCTGCCGCTGCAGCAGCAGAATCTCCCGCTCCAGGTCGTCCACCATCGCCCGGATGGACTCATTCTCGACGCCCGCCTCCAGGCCGGAAGCCGCCTCGACGCCCTCGCTCTCCATCAGACTGTCCGACTGGTCGGCCGCCAGTGAGCTGGAAAAGTTCGCCAAATTTGAGGAAGTTGAAGTTGAGGGCTGTTGCTGGTGGCTGAGAATGCGCTCAAAGGAGAAGCTGTTCTGCCGGCTGCTGTCCACGTCGTCCTTCAGGTAGTCCTTGCCGGTGTAGCCGGTGGAGCTGGCGTCGCCGGTAGCCGACAGTCGACTGCCCTCGTCGGTGTCCACCGGCCCGCGAAGGAGGAAGTCGTCGTCGTCATCGTCGTCGCTGTCGCTGATGCCGCCGCCGAAGAGGTCGCCTGAAACATGACAATAGAAAACATGATTAGCTTTTTGAAAAAGAGGTTTTACTAATTACCTTCGTCGTACTCGGAGTTCATCACCCCAGAGCTGGAACTGGCGTTAAGGTGATGATGGTGGTGGTGACCGTGACCGTGACCGTCTTTGCTGTCGCTCTGGTTCATCAGCGTCTTCTCATCCTCGACGTTGACGATCTCATAGCGAACGTACTTGGCCTCGTTGTCCGTCCGCAGCAGCCGCTTCACCTCCTTCTCAATCTCCGGAAAGTCGACGTACTTCTTGCGGAGCATCTTCCTGAACCGCTTCTTGCGGACATTTTTTAGTGGCTTAGTGATGCCGTGCGGATAGAGGTACCGCTTGTCTTTGCCTGGAAGGGACAAACAGATTGCACAGATTTCGTTAGTTAAGGCAGGATTCTGATGATTTCGAAAACAAACTATCACACAGACCATCCTTAGTCTTCTTAATCTCCTCCGCCTCATCGGGCGGCGGCTCATTGTCATCCTCCTCCTCCTTGCACACCATCATCTGACAGATGTCGGCCGTCTTGTAGAAGTTCTTGCTGTCCAGCGTCTTGTGCGACTCGATTATAGTCGGCAGGTCGACGATCTTCGCCGGCAGCACCCACCCGTCAAAGCGGACCTTCCCGTTGCGAATGTCCGGCTCTAGCTGAATGCTGAGGCGGTCTTTCAGATTTTGGACGCCTATGTAAGAAGATCATGTAAACGGTAAAGATTAGGATACTGATGAAAAACCTGACTAAAAGTAGAACAACACATTGAAGAAAACACAGCTTACCTGACTTGACGGCGGCCTTCAGCGAGGCGGCCGGCAGATGTGGCAGTCGGAGAATGAACTGCGACTCCATCTCAAAGTTGTCACTGCTGGGCGGCTGGTACTCTTCGGGCGGCATGGCGTCAATTGATAGTGATAATGATGATGATAAAAACTTCCTCGATGGATCACAATCACAATGGAAGAAGAAGAAGAAGACAAATCACTTGGGCGAGCGCAACAAAATGTAAACAGCATTTTTTTTTCAACACAAAAACTCAAGCACGAGCGCCATCTTCAGCGCCGGACGTTTACTCTTCGTCGGTGAGCGTTGTGTTTACAAACTTTTTTTTTCGCGTTTCTCTTTTCTGATTTTCCTCTCAAAAGTGTTTTCAGAACTTCAAAACTGCCAGTATATCATCTAAGAGAATGAGCCAAAAAAACTGCTCCGTTTACCAGTGTCGGAACACCTACAAGAACACCAAGGAAAGACCATTAAAGGTGCAGTTCTACTCCTTTCCCGCCGACCCGGAGAGGCGCACCAAATGGGTCAATTTTGTGGACCGAGTCAAGTAAGTAGTCAGCAGCAGCAGACTTTCCGAACTGATCTTCTTGATTGATTCACCACTTTTTTTGTTCTAGACGAGACGGATCACCGTGGGAGCCCACCAGGAGCTCCCTGATCTGCAGCGACCACTTTCTCGGCAACAGGAAGTCGGTCTTTCCGCGAAGTCCCGCTTTCAATCCCTCCGTTCGTCCCGGTGAGGTGCCATCCGCAGAGCAGCTGCGAAGGCTGGAACTGTTCAACATGTAACCTTTTTTTAAAAAACTGTTTTTTGTGACTTGCTTCTAACCACCACCACTTTTACAGTCGCATTCGAGAGCCAGCCCAGCCGAAGAAGGCGGCCAAGCAAGAGCCGAACAAGGACCAAATCGACCTGGACGAGGAGTTCGACCTGGAGTCGCCGCCGAACAGCGTCGCCACGCAGTGCAACCTCTCCGGCGGGCGGCCGTACTTCAAGGACTCCACCGGCGCCCTCGCCCACTTCGCCAGCACCTACTCCGTGGAGCTGCTCTACAGGAGCACTCAAAATGCGAACCGCAAAGTGGCCACCCTCACCTTCAACCAGGCGACGCAGGTCGCCCACAAAGAGGAGGAAGGAACGAAGATGAACAGGCCGCTGCTGGACATGATCGAACCACCACCGAAGTACCAGTTTCGGGAGCTAGTGTACAACACTCCCAGCACAGCTGTTTCCATCAACACTAACACAGCCAACAACAGCGAATATGAGGAGGAGGAGGAGGAGGAGGACCAAAAGCCGACGCTGAGGACGTACAGCAGGAAGCGGAAGCAAACAACTTCTACTTCTGCAGCAGCAGCACCTTCCCCTTCACCTTCACCTTCACCTTCAATGCAACCTTACAGCTACACTAACAGCTATGCACCTTCTTTTCCTTCTGAACTGAACTACCTCCAGGACAGAACCTGTCAGACTGTTGTCTCCCGTAGAAGCGAGACGAGGCAGCCCTCAACAACGACAGCTAAAGCATCCTCATTATCAGCCAGCCAAGAGGCGGTGGCAGCCAATCTCGCCAAACGGGAGACGCAGTTTCTCGCCACCAAGTACGCCGCCTCCCTTAAGTCGACTGAAACTGCCGAGGAGGAAGTTCCCGCTTACGCTTACGCCCCCAAACCGCCGCATCTGCAGGGCAACTTGAAGCGAGTCTCTGACCAGTGGGAGGCGCGTGGGAAGCCCATTATTGCTGTAAAAAAATAGAAGACAGCTGGCGAGATCTTTGGCTGCTGAAAGCTCTCTCTCTCTCTCTCTCTCTCTCTCTCTCTCTCTCTCTCTCTCTCTCNTCTCTCTCTCTCTCTCTCTCTCTCTCTCTCTCTCTCTCTTTCTCTCTCTCTCTCTCTGGAGCGCCAAGTTTGGATTGTGATTTTTCCCTTCTTTCTCTGCTGACGACAGAATCCTCAACCTAGTAAGTTTTGCATCCCTTCCCTTCCCTGCAAAGTTCTGCCTTCTCCTCAACTCTTTAAGAACTAGCTAACTAGCTAAAGTTATTAATAGGGATTTAAGTTCACTTTTGTATATTGCCTGGAAAATCAGCTTTTCAAAGCCAAATACCCCGATTTCACTGCTGCAAAAAAGAGCTAAGGAGGATACCATTAGTCCTTCTAGTAGTTCTAAGAAAATGCTAATGATTTTTATTATTTCTTCTTTTCCACTGAAGGAACCATTCCATTTGTACCATACATCATCATGTCGCATCATTAGGGCCAACGAATTTTAAAATCTCCTTTTAAACACTAATTACCGTTTTCAATTGTTATTCTGTTGCACACATATTTAGTATGCACTGGGCGCGTAATACGCTTTTCTTGTGCCATGTAAAAACACATCAATTAAAAAATTGGACAGTTTCCCACTGCGTTGACAATATTTGCCAAAAATGTATCAACTTTGTCATCAGCCTGTTTTCGGTTATTAACGTTTTCCCCCTTCTCCAGCAAAATTCTATCATTAATTTTTTCCCCCAACTTTTAGCTGAAAACACTTTTCTCTCTGCTTAGCTTGCATTAATAATTTCTGCCTGCTTTTTGCAAAGTATTTTTGCCAGTAGTGCAGCACTGCAACAGAATCATTTCACAAATTGTTTCATTAAAAAAAGCTGCAGCTCAGACTAATTTTGTTTTGTTTTGCTTTTTTTGTCTCTAAGTTGCACTTTGAATTAAAAAAAACTTTTAATGTAGGAAAATGTAAATGCTGCTTGTCGCAACACTGTCGGCCAGAACAAAAATGCAAATCACTTATCAAGCCAAAAGGGGTTGAAAGCTTGATAAGGAAGGAAAGGGAGGGGGAGGAGAAGGAACGAAAACGATCGGTAACCGATTGATGTTAATTAGCATCAATCAGCTACCGAGCTATCACACTGTGTCTTCTGACAGTCACACTTTTTTTTGCTTTTTTGTTTTTTTACCAGCAGAAAGTAAAAAGTGCGAATGGAAGGCTGCTAATGTAATTAGTAAATTAATTAATGCATGTGTGCTAATGGCCAGCAAATGAGAAGTGCGAAAAGAGGAGAAGACGAAGAAAGGATTCTCTCTTTCTGTCAATTTTAACTATTGTCGTAATTAATTGCTGCAAACGGAAACTGTCGGTATAATAGAGCGGTAGGTTTTTAGTTATTTACGCAAGTTTTGTACTTTTTTTAGCTCAAAAAGATTTTATTTTGTACTATTAAAAAACTAAAAAAATCAAGTGTGTCACTGCTGTTGAACAATTGAAAAAATTTCAAGTTTATACCTGCTTTTTAGCGTTTCTTTTATTGATTGGATGAGTTGACAACTTTCTTTTCTTTCGTTTCATTTTTTACAAGCCCAACACAAGTGTCCTGTCTGTGTTTCAAAATTGTTTTTTGCAGTTTTAATTAAGTTTAAGCTGTTTACACTGTTTTCCCTCACTACAAAAACTGATTGATTGGAGAAATCTTTAAAAGAGACAGCTAAAAAATAACTTTTTAAAATTGTGATTTCCTAAAATGCTACATTTTTCGTTTCTTTTACTTTTACTTCTCTCGCCGTTATCATCATCATCAGCCCAGTTTCGAATTGTGGGCGGTGAAGAGGTGACCTCTTTACTGAGCGTTCCTTTTGCCGTCTCCTTCAACGCCACGGACGATCAAAACGGCGGCGGCGGCGGCGGCGGCGGCATCTTCTGCTCAGGAGTGCTGATCTCCTGTCGAACGGTGCTCACTGCGGCGCACTGTCTACTCAAGTAATCAAGTGTGAAAAAAAAGTGAAAATTTTTTGTTACACTTTTAACTCTTTTTCCCCTTTGCTGTGTACAGTCGCTCAGTGGCCAGCATTCGCCTGGGCAGTCTGCGGTACGGCAGCGGCGGCCGTCTAGCCACCAGTCGCCAGTTCACCCTTCACCCGCAGTACAACCCGGCGACGCAGGAGAACGACATTGCCCTGCTGTACCTGGCAGAAAAAAAATCTCAGATAAAATTTCAGAGAAGAAAATCCTACAGCCAAAAGCGGAAAATCGGGCTACTACATCCAAATATAGTAGTCACAACCTGCAACCAGTGGGAGAGCAAAGGTGATTGTGAAATCGAGGAAGTGGAAAAGCCGTCGTCTTCTTCTTCTTCTTCTTCTTCCTCTTCTTCTGAAGACAGCACTCCTGCCTCACCGATCTGTCTGCCCACCAGTTTCCAGCAGTCCCAAAGCTACCTGAACAGCCGTCTGCTGACGGTGGCCGGCTGGGGTCAGCAGGTCTACTCGGTGCCGGGCGCCCTGTCACCGGTCCTGCAATCGATCTCCGTCGCCAGCATTCCCATTTCCACCTGTCATCGACTGTACAGGAAAAATGTCAAAGGAATTGGAACTGGAGGTAATGCTCAGTTGTTGGCTCGATTCACCGCACCGGACGCTGACCGGCGCATTCTCTGCGCCCACTGGCCGGAAAGAGCCATCTGCCTGGTATGTGACCACTTTTATTTGAAGAAGAAGAAGTTGACATGCTTTTTGAGTTTTTTTTAACCCAAAACCGCAAAATGCTTACCAAGTTTTGTTAAAATGAAAACAAAAAACTCTTTTCGGTTAAATTTCCCTGCCTTCCAACAAAAAAGTAACATTGAAAGTTGACCTTGTGACTTTGACAAAAAGAAGAACCACAAAAAATCCGCTTTTAAGCGTTTTGCTATTTCAATTTCCAGGCACACAAAAAAGCGTTTAGTTTCAGTTGACTAAGCTTTTAAATTTTACAAATTAAAAAAAATAGTTAGACTGCAATTTTATATATATATCATTTAAAATTTTCAATTTAAAAGCTGAAAATGAGTTTTTCTTTTTTTTTGCAATAATTTTTAGGGCGACTCTGGTGGCGCACTGTTCACTCAAATTAGCAGCAGACACAGCAGCGGTGGCAGCGGTGGCAGCGTCGGACAGTTCTCCTCAAACTTAAACTCAAACTTAGACAGCAGTAAGAAGAAGCAGTTCATCCTCTTAGGCATCGCCTCGGAGACGCTTGAATGTGGTCGCAATGGCGTGCCCGACATCTACACACGTGTCGACGCCTATCTGCACTGGATTAGCGCCCACCAACTCTGAAGCTTGGATAGGCCAACAGA